GGAGAGGATTTGTAAAAGTCCCTCACGAGATTCCTCCGTTCACTGTCGGTCTAGTTTATTTCGTGTCTCAAGAATTCTGCAATCACGGTGTGTATGGTGCATACCACAACGTCCCTTCTGAGCCACCTCTCCTTAATGTCTTTTTTTTTTTTTTTACCGAAAGGAAATCGGCAATAGATGAGTGACCAACAGCATCCAGTCTGTTCAGCATGTTTCTGCACAGAGCGCAAAAACGACATCGCGCTGGTGACCCTCCCCAACTTGCTTGCGAACCAAGAGCCAATTGTGTAACGCAGCTTTTCGTTCGAAAGATTTGTTCTCAGCCTTTTTGACGATAAGCCTAAGATCACAAATGGCCGTCACTTGCCCTTAAAAGCAGTTATCGTAAGCACATTACGTATTACTATTGACCGGAAAAACAGCGCTACACACAGGGTGCTGAACAAAGCCCTGTCAGTCGTTTTATTACAGTCGTCTGTCTAGTGCTGTTTGTTCCCGTCTTAATGATGTTCCAACCATCAAAATTGGGTACTCTCCCAGAGGTTAAAAATGTGTAGTTATGTGGGCATTGCGCAGGTTAATGGTGACAGCGAATGTGCCGGACGCCACATGAAGCGCACCCTATATACCAAGGACAACTGCGAACCGCGCCCCGGAATCAACTCTCAGGGCCGGTTCCCGCTAGCGGCAAGTCTGCCCTGCATTACGGCGCGGTGCCGTCCGCAGGAGAGCTGTTCGAAATGCACGGCAAGCTTCGCCGGCGAGGCATTTCAGCCTCTGACAAACATGTCCGCTCTTGCGAATGCGACTGTAGCGGCCGCCGTGCGCTCTGTAGGAGGCAAGCTCGAAACGGTTACTTCCATTCGCTTTGGACTATGTACTTGAGCTTCGACAACACAGTACTCGAATCGATTCGGCACCATTTTTGAGAGCCGTACTCAAATAGTTAATTATGTAGATCGACTCACGAACCTTGGCGAACATCGGAGGGCATATATTACACGTTTGTCAGTTCTTTCTAACCCTGGACAGCTGGCGCCACTTGTCCGGGCGCCTATTCTGGGACACGTTTAATTTCACGCTGCGTCTTTTGTGAGTACAGGAGATGCTAAAACACTCTGTTAAGTGCTGGAACAACACGTACGACATCCGCATATATAGCGTGACTCGCCTGCTGGATTACGAGCTGAACGGTTGTGTCACCCGCAATCTCCGACACCAGCGTACCTCTCGCCGATCGGCCCTCTGTACTCGATCTCCTGACGCCGTATAGCTATCGCCAAGTGGAATTTTTCAACCGTGTCCCCCATCTGTTCTCCATTTCCTGTGCGGCGAGTGCTCTCTCTTCTTAATCTTACACCCCTTCTCCCATCCCCTACAAGGCACTTCAAATTGGGTGCCTTTTCCCCTTCTGCAAGAACCACGCATTCATTCATTACGGCGTGAAAACCGCGGAGCAACGCTCGCTCGCTGGATTCCGTGCCGACCGGTTGTGCCCTCGCGATCTCAGACGGCAGCGTAGCTCTGGCCGACTGGATTACGCCATCTCCTGACGCCGACAAGAGCTCTCGTCGAGTGGTGCCCCGTCCTCGGACTCCTGCGACCGTATTCCATCTTTCCTATCTTCTCTTTACTTGCGTCGCTCGCTCTCTCCTTCCTCTCTCTCTATATATACATTTTAATCCCTCCTTACCCCCCATCCCTTGTGAGCAGCTATTGAAGTGTCGCACCTGATGCAGACAGTTACGGGGCTCACTATTCCCTTTAAGAACCACAAAACAGAACCGCGGAGCAAGAAGCTCGAAGTGTTCCGGGGCAGACGACGCGGCTCACCATGTCGCTCTCCGCCAAACTGCGCAAAAATGGGTCTCGGACTCTCATCGAACGGCAGACAAAGCAAACAGCCGCGCACGGCTGCCTGAGAACGGCGAGGCATGCTTGCCGCTAGCGTGAACCGGCCCTCACTCGGCCAACGTGGCTACACTCAAACGGAAAGCCGCTGCTATCGTCCAGCGGCAGTGCACCGACAAGAAAGCCTCGCCTAATCAGGCACGGCGCCTTGCATAACGGTACATGCGCGCGCTGCAACAAGGAAAACGCGGCCGCTTTCTCTCGCCGCGCCGATACCCACTCGCTGGTCTCACCACAAACGAAATCCCCGCGATTCAAGCGAGAACGGCCACCCGTGGTTCTCAGCAGTGCGCCGTTTTCAAGGTCATACGGGCGTTTCAACCGTTATCAGTTGCTCGGCTCAAGACAAAACCCGCCCTGCACCAAGAGACGAACCAGAGAATAAACACAGCCAAGCGCACACTCGCAAGCTAGTTTTGTTATTACAACGCTTCGCTTCATTTATTCTGACGCATGCACAACAGAAGAGCTTATGTGGAATGGAGCCAAGCTTTGTCACATCCCATAAAAAGCTAACCCCTTCGCATGAAGAGGCAAACTTAAGTGTGCTATCATGTATTATGCGGTCAGTGTTCCAGCTTCGTGACATTTTCACCAGCCACACTGCGCGCTAGCAATTAGTGGCGTTACCTTCCTTTATTCTCTTCACGCATTCGACACATGAACTGGTCGCGCCAGCTGCTTTCCTCATCTGCATACAACAACGACAGTAATAAGAAGCTCCCAGAAATGTACAATGAGAGGAAAGCGAAAGTCGGGCCATAGTTTTATACAAGCATGAGCTCGTGAGAAAACGCGACAATACAAAAAGATTGGCGGCGTCTGCTCGTCAACCAGAGCAGATCCCCTTCACGTCAACAGGGGGATTTCCTCCACAAAAACGCGCAACTTTTCGGCAACGCTGCAGGGTACTTCAGTGCTGCCAACGCGAGAACTGTACGCAAGGGCGCACGCCCTTGATGTACCATATACCATAAACCATGCTAACCCACTGTGTAAAGTAGTATGGGAAAGAATACTACGTATGGATAACTGTCGGTCCAATTTTAGAGCGCGGGCACATCGAACACTTCGTACAAAAACATTTTGCGTCGACACTTGGCGGATGCGCCACTGTGGCGTCAAAGACCGTCAAGTGCTGCCACAGTGAAAGAATATCAGAATCGGTCACCCGAAGCGCCGTCTCAATAGACGTTCGCTCAGTAGGCCGCAAGGATGAGCCTGGAGATGATACGCACTTCCCGACACTGATGGTGTGGAGCCGTCTCGAAGTATGCAATCTCCGGCCATCGAAACACCACACTGTTTCGGGGACAGCCTACGAGCCATGTGCGAAAAGTTAACTTCTCCGCGGATGCAATACTACTGTGAGCGTCCGATCGTTAACGCATGAGACAAAAATACTCGTATCGAAAGGCGACGTTACCGAAATCAACCCACAGGCCTTGCCATCAAACAACACTCACGAGTGCACGCCCAGATGAATTCAGCTTGTTGTACCACATGGTGTCAGTAGTGATGCGGCCAGAGGAAGGATGCAAAACTCGAGCAAGTTTTCTCCTGGCACAGGGAGGCGCGGATCTCGAATGCGGCCCTGGGCGTCGCGACTTTGCTTGGCCAAACTCGTATTCTCAACTATTGCAATTATCAGCGCTTTCTTCGCAATTGGCATCCACATTTTAGATCCGGGGTTTTACGTCCCAAAACCACACTATGGGAGTGCTAAAAAAATTCCGACAATCGAACTGCACACCATCCGGCCTCCATCGAACCTGCGACTGACGGGCAAGCAGCGTAGTCACTGTTCTAATCAGTATCGTTGTGTTTTTCGAAACCTGACGCCCGTCAGAAATAGCCAATATATGGGACGTAGGAAAGGCAGTATTACAAATGGCAACATTACGTGACATTTTCTCCCCGTTCCTCGGCCCCAGTGAGACTGAATTGTTTGGCTGCGGCTCGCTAAATCGGTGTTTGAGACCCCTGACCTATATAACCGCAAGCGCACTTACTGTGCATTTACAGGAAAAAAGTATGCGGATAACGACAAGACAATTGCGGATAACGCCGACTGACTTTCTGGTAAAATAAACTGTCGCAAGTTAGCTAGCCAGGCACGCGCACAGCGATCTGACCGGTTTAAGAGGGGATACTGAAGTAGTGACGTCAGCTAAAGTTGCAACTGTACTTACAGTGAGGCACGACAACTATCGCACATACCAGTGGTTTTCCCAATATTACTATTCAAAGAAAAACAATCGACATCCTCACACGTAAACGAAATTCACCGGCATTTATGCAAACAACGGCCAAATTAATATGCATGCGGACTAAGCAGCTTAAAAGCTTTAGCAGTAGCGCGAAACAAATCGATTGCGACCAGCACCTACCAGCGATAATAAAGCTCGTGACCTCAAGTGACAACGCGGTAGTCTTGACAATATTGCAAGCTCGACCCCATGTATCTACGCTGGTCAAGGGGGGCCACAAAGAAGTGTCAAGCCATTTTGGTTTAGATTGACAGAGTATTTCTACTAATTTCTTACAAAAAACATTAGCTCATACCGGTGCAACTTTGCCGCCAAGCTAAGTGAAACACGTTCCAACCCAGGCATACAGAGGGAAAGAAAACCACACCGGCAGCGACAAGGGCGGTCTATCTGGCGTTAGCACAAGCGAGTTTGGTACAGCTTAAATTCGTTGGTGGAGGCTTGAAAACCCCATCAAAAAACAGTGCACCTATTTCCCTTGCCACAACAAAGCAGCTACGTCTTCTGTAACAAGTCGCAAAATTACTTACGCCCACGTCCTGTTACAAAGAACGCAGGCGACTTCAACGAAGCCGAGAGAATACCTGTCGTACGACCACCTGTGGCCAAGCGGCACGTAACTTCCCCAACTGCCACAACAGAATTTATTCAAACACTCATTTCCAAAACGTATCGCTTCGTACGGAACTACTCTATGAGCACGTCAGCACGACATTTCCATCAAGCCGCAAACTACAACACATTACTCTAAGAAGTAACTTTTATAGCCAAGTTAAAAACTTCGTTCCCCCTCCCCACCTCTTCTCATCCAAGACTTACCCGAGAGCCGTCGCTGCCGTTTGTTTCTTTTTGTTAGGGTTAGCAGCCCAGCCTGTAGTTGACACGAACAGTTTTCAATCACACTGTCACACACTGCCGACGCCGTACCGTCCTCGCAAGACACGGGGCGCAACGCTTGCGACAACTTATACACCGGCCCGGGCCAAACTCCCAAGGAAACGACTGACGGAGCAGCGTGAGCCACCCCGCCGCATCGACCACCTACTCATACAGTACTTCAGTACCGAATTTTGCCTGCGGCTCCATCTTGACGGCGGTGCCATCTAGCGGCGGTTGAGCGGACGAGAGACGCGCGTGGGCTGCGTCGTCTGCTACCGTGGCTATGTTCGCGGCGTCTGCTAGCGCACATCACAACCATTGTAACGTGTATTCATTGATACTAAAAGAAAAACTACCCTGCAAATCAGTTTAGGGAAACAAGTGCGCAGCATTCCAACATTCATGAATCTTATAAAACCATACACCAAAATTCAACAGAATACATCTCATTTTTTTAACGGCTTCTCAATTTCAAAATGTCAAAACTACAGTAAATACAAAACCAGACCAACCCGTAAGATTAAAAAAACAATAATTTAGGCTAGCCTTTGAGATTACTACCACATCTAGTACACTGCAGGATGATTTATTGCGCCCAAGTCGCATGAGTCAATACGAAAATGTCAGCAAAGTGGATTGTCGTATTTTCAGTAAAATAGCATGCCAGTTACCAGCAACATTGAAGTTCGCACAACCCAGCTCGCGTGATTGTGCGTGTTTCATAAACCTCCAAGCTTGGGATGAGGCACACGTACGCCGTGCCACGTGCACAGGTAGCGTCGGCAGCTTCGTGAATGCGTTTTTTTTTTTTATGTGACCAACCAACGTTTCTGTATAGCAAGAAGTTGCTGATGCATGCATCCGGCCTACATAGCTCAGCTTCCCAATCATCACATATGGGGTCAAGAAAAGAAATGCCTACCGCGACTGTGATATGAAGCCTCGAAATACCTGCTAGCTCCTGGCTGAACAGAGCTTTTTTTTTTTTTTTAGCGTCTACGCAGAACATTTATTTCATCACTATTATTATTCTTTAAACTGTACGAGCGTGAGTGGCAACGTTACATCAATTACATCGCCAGAGAAACTTTCCCACACCGTCGCGTTCACGGGCCTTTTTATAGTGCGAACAGCACCCCAAATGAAGATAACCGAAATCAATACTGGTGGCCCGTGGACTCGAAAATTGCCCTCCGCATGCTAATAAGCAGTCTCAGAGGCCTGCGTTCGTTTCTCTCTTTAGGGAAAACATTTGCATGTTTGTGGCACCAGATGTCACTTAATCCGCGTGTGTCGTCACGTTTTGGCCACCAAAAATTATGGCGTGTGCCTCCCCAAAGCCGGCACGCGTGTGCAAACTACCTGCCCAGAAAATGACCATTTACCGCTGGTCTCGCCATCTCTTAACAAGTTTTGAAGAATTCATTGGCGGCATGATTCTGCAGACCACAAGGTTTCCATCCATTGAAACCTATAACCACTCGGGTGCCGCCATGATGTAACGATACTCTGCTTTCGGGTACGCTCGCACTCGCCACTGCATGCTGAAATAACCCCTGACATTTTTTTTTCTGCTTCTTGGACCTCTGTTGCATCACAGTAAGAGACTGTCACATAAAGTCGAGTAGTTAGCTCATGGCAACAAAAAACACGGACTCCGAAGCACATGCAAGCCAGCGGAATTGGCCACATACAGCAAGGCCCCGCTTCCGAATGTCGATACAGTACAAGAATGATGGCGTTACTAAATAAATAAAACTGCAAACACTTTTTTTTTGTGCGCAGCAAATTTCATAAATGATCATTGCATTTTTTACAAGTAGTTAATATAAAAATACCACGATTTTGGTTTGTTTATAAAACGTGAACACATTTGTTTATGATTTCTACTGTGAGAATTTATACTGCGAGTATTGTAATGACAAAAATGACAACGTTTCAAGATGTCAGCGTTTTGCAAGGAGGTTATACTAAAACTTCTGGAGTAGTGGTCCCGCAGACCCACCCATGTATTGAAGTGAAGCCACAACGGCCATATTGCTCAGGGCAAAAGAAGGCGGCGCCTGCTTTGTAGCGCCGTGATGCTCTGGGCGATTGCGGCCGTGTGTTTCATTATAGCTGCTAGAGCATCTGTTTATTATTCTTACTAGGGGAGGGAACGTGAAAGGGACTTTAATGAACATCTGCTTTAGTTTTTTTTATACTAAGCGTTTTGAGCGTGTTGAAAAAAAAAAAAAAAGCCAGGCCTGCGCGGAACGCGCAGCACAGGCACAGCGAAAGCTAGAAGAGCAGCGCATTTCAGAGCCTTTTCTAAACACTCTTTGGGATGCTACAAGCACACTGCTGGGTACCCACAGTGCCAGCGTTCACTATGCTATCTTTCCTCATCATTTGGAGAAGCGTACGTGGTACCCGCTACACACTTGTCGAAATGTGCAATTTTTTATGCAGTGGCTGACGACGATGAAAACGTAATGCTTAAAGTGGGTATGCACCACAGTTAATAGGTGATCAAGAACAAGTTTTCTAATGGTTTGGAGCATTGGACAACCCAGTCGTTAATTGATTGATATGTGGGGTTTAACGTCCCAAAACCACCATATGATTATGAGAGACGCCGTAGTGGACGGTTCCGGAAATTTCGACCACCTGGGGTTCTTTAACATGCACCCAAATCTGAGTACACGGGCCTACAACAATTCCGCCTCCATCGGAAATGCAGCCGCCGCAGCCGGAATTCAAACCCGCGACCTGCGGGTTAGCAGCCGAGTACCTTAGCCACTAGACCACCGCGGCGGGGCAACCCAGTCGTTATGCAATTCGCATTGTGTCACGCCTGGCCGTTCCTTTGGTGATATAAAACGCTTTATTACTCATGTTAACGCTATTCCTTTCCCGACATAAAGCCTGCCTAAGGCCAGTTTAAAAACGAGTTCCAAGCAGTGGCATGCCTCAGTGGTAGATTACTGGGCTGGAACGCAATGGACCCGGGTTGGAATCCCATTGTTTCATTGGTGTTTTTATTCACCAAGATTTTTTTTTTTTCGACACTGGTTACGGGCGGCGGCGGCGGACAACTACGGCGCCGTGCGTGACCCGTGCATTCGTTGTAAAAAAAAAGTACTCAGGAATATCGCTTCGCGTTGTTGTATGTTTAAACAGAATTGCCCCACAGTAAAGTAACTAGTGAGGACATGCAGCGAAAATAGAAGTATCACTAACACACAACTGTAAGACCTTGGCGAATAACAGCGCAGCGTGTGTGCAAACTTTTTTTTTTATCATGGGGGGGGGGGGGGGGGGAGGTATATATCGCCTTTCCACGTACTCGTTTGAGAAGTTCCTGGATATCCGGAGAAAACGATGCTTGGTAAACTTCCAATCCTTCATCTGATATGTTCTGCTTCATTTTCTAGTCAACGAAATTCCGAGAAGCCTCAATATATTTTAAAAGACCCCAATTAATGGTACTGTTAGGATGTCTTACCCTCCTTTTCTGCTGTTAATTGTACCTCGTTCACAATAATTCAGTTTTCGCTTTGTTATTTTGCCTGTGCCATTTCTTTGTGGGTGAAGTTTGGGAGTGGCGGGATTTAGACAGCTCCATCAATGAGAGGCGCTTTAGGAAAAAGTGTAATTCCCTGACTTTTGAGAGGAGCTCGTTTCCTTTTTATCCTACATAAAGAGAGGCATATCGCAACATCGGAAATTTGAGCATTGTGAGCGTAGTGCTCATGCAATTATAAGAAACTCAAAATCCCAGAAATGCAAAGCCGGTGCTACATTAATTACCTTTCATAAGCAAAGCGCTCAATTGTATTAGGCACACTCACGTACTGGCTTTTGTTAGTGCGCTGGAAACGATGCAAACACGAAAGTAATGTTATAAACTTGTCGCCTCTTTATTTACCCTGTCTCATCGAAGCAGCCTGCTTCAACATGCGTACTGAACATAAGCCGTTATTCCTTTTTCGGGGTGAGGGGGGGTGCTTAACCTTCCCGCCTCAGAGCACACTCATAAGCCGCGTAATACGACGTCTTTGGACTACTAAAACGTACAAAAATTATTCAAAGTGTACTGTGCACCGGCACGCAAAAAGGAAATCTGTGCACACGCGAATGCTGTCGCAGTCACGAAAATATGTGAAGAAAATCGAGCGAGCGAAGCATGCCTTCTCGTACATCGGAAGTTGTACCCGGTGTCCACACGATTTGCGCAGCCAAATGCTACTCAAGAGCCCACTATCGTCGTCTCTAAAAGTGGTCACAGACGTGTCAAGAACCGTCTTGTTTAAGTAGAGGCACCACATGCAACATTACTAGCTCAAAAACAACGCGAAAGCCACGTACGTTACAATGCGCCCATCTGCTTTCTGCCCTGAGAAATATGGCAGTTCGTCGGCTTCAGCTTCAGAGCCCCTTCGTTACTCCATTAGTTTTAGTAAAACCTCCTTGGCGTTTTGGTGACACTTTGCATCTAGAGTTATAGACTTATAGTACATTAACTCTATGGGTGCGCTCTGACTACCTGTTTCAGTGAATCAATATTCAAAACTTTTGCCACAGCTTATAAACAAAATATTTAATTTCATGCCTCAAAAGCTTTCTGTTAAAAAAATGCTTAAAAAGTGATGAAATGACACACAGAAAACTTTGTTACAATTTACAGGTACAATTTTTGTACTGCAATCTCTATTAGATATCTTGTTTTTATAACAATTGCGTACATTTCAAATCTTGATCATTGAATAATTGCGACAAGTTTTTTGCGTCATTCAGGTTGTCTAGTAGTTGTTCCCGCCCATAGAGTTTCATACGATTCCCGCCCTACCAAGTTTTTGTAATCTGCCAGAAGCGGGGATGGCGTGGACCTGTGCACAGGATTAATATGGCGACGCACATAAGCCGCTCAGGTTCGGCTGGCTGGCCGAAAAGCGCGCCACAGGGCCAGTACACGGGAAAATATTTGGGAACCAACCCAGCGAACCTTCTAAACTTCACACTCAACCGAACTGTCAACCTGTGAGTAGTTAGTTCACTGTGTCCTTAAACGCCGGCATGTTACATTGTGATTGGGACAATAGCGGTAGTGAACCGACACGATTCACTTCTCTGATCGCGCCGTGTGCTTCCTGCATGTATATGAGATCTCGTGCATACGTGCCAATGACCTGTTTCCTTACTTTAAGGTATCCTCTGACGAACTACACGTTCGGCACAAAAGAGGCTCTGTATGAACGAGACAGCTCGGTGCCGGCGCGGTTCCAGCGCATGAGGGAAGAGTTTGAGAAGATTGGCATGCGGCGGTCCGTTGAGGGTGTCCTGCTGGTCCATGAGCATGGTCTCCCCCACGTGTTACTACTGCAACTTGGAACCACGTTTTTCAAATTGTAAGTAGTCACTACAAAGGCTGTGTTTTTCACAAGTTGCGTGCATGAGTTCACTGCTCGTACCAGTCGAGCATTGCGGGGCCTTTATTAGGGAGTTTTAGAATAGCGCACCGCGAGCCCTTGCGGTGTGGTCGCTGCCACTGCGCACGCGCCGTAACGTGAGTCACCGTCCGCGTTCGCGGCCCGCACGCAGAAAATGCAAAACAGCGCGCGCCGATCGCGGCCCGCGAGGCCCTCAAAGTGCTGCGAGTAGCTTCCGTGCATTTGGGTTTGCGGTCGGGGCGAAAGTGCCTAGACTTTTCCCTGGGGAGGCAAACGCGATTCTAAAACTCATGTGGCGCCCGCTAAGCCCCCAGCCCCTGCAAACGTTATTCTAAAGCTCCCTATTGCAACGCAAGGATTGTCTGCTCAGCTGGTGCTTAGAGTAGAATACACTCGAAAACACTTGACGTGCTATGCAGACATATCCAAAATCAACGTCCTTTGTTTGTCTCGGCTTTCAACTGATCAGTTTGCTATTTTGGCAGCGTTGTAAGCCTCATTATTGTGAAACTATTAATGCTGAAAGAAAAAACTCGTAATACAAGAACGGCACTTTTTTTTTTCATCGTTCATTCATTTTTTCCTTTGGAGGAAAGTTGCTGCTTTATACATGCCGGTACCATGTAGCAGATATCCATTTAAAGCTTCGTCGCACTGCATTTTGAGTAATCATGTACTAGTGTTTCATGCATTATCCTGTGGGAATGACGGGTGCTATAGTTGTGGCTTCTACAGCGCTTCTGGGAATGCTCATATGAAGGGGCTATTGATTGCTATATTATTAGTATTCGTGTCTTGTAACGAAACATGGCAGCCGCCATCTCATGAGGCCAGAATGCAAATGGTCAGTCTGAATGCATATTACAGAATCTGAGGCAGCTTTAATTCGAAGCCTATCTTTTCACCTAAAGGGACCAACAACTGGCTAGAACGTGTGATTTTGGTGGAAATGAATAGCGCAAGAGTTATAGTAACGGATTCCTGTATTCTTTTTGCAAGATAAACAGTATTTATATTTTCCAATTTTGTTTAAAAGTAACATAATCCGTCATGTTGCTCAGCCTAGCAACATGACGGATTATGCCTTGAAGATAGAAAGTTGATTACTTCGCTGTGCGTAGTCGTAGTCTGATGCTAACATATGCACCCTAATTCGTCCTCAAAATTGGAAGCTGCACATTAAGAAGCAGCGCTGCCTTTGCAGCCACTAGCAGGCTGTGTCCAGCCAAGGCGTATGTGTGCGGAGTGCCCGCATGTGCAGTAAACTACCCAGCTCGAACACCAACAACTCTCGTGCTCATTGTTTGCAGCTCGCATTGTCACGGCTGTAAACAACTTCATATTGACAGATGAAAAAAATTCTGATTACAAATGTTTTGCAGCACATTTCGCATTACCGTTCTGCGATTACCCACTTCTGACTGGTAAGCTTTCCACTGCACAATAGGAAATAAGCTACAACCGTCTCCAAAGTAAGTAAGGATGTGCAAGTGACAACCGCAATCTGATAAAACTGCATTATCGCGCCATCTGACCGGGTGAGTGTGCATGTGCGTCCTTTCATTTTCACATTCATATCTTTTACTCACTTTCAGCGGAACAAGTGATTACATGTAGCGTTGTGCGCCAGGCGTTGCTTTATTCGATTCGTGACGCGCTTGATTCGGCGGGGGCACGGTAGCGGCGAAGTACATGCCGCTCGCTATGCTTTGAATAAAAAGATCGCATCTCTTGTCTCGGCGCCGAATCAGTGCGCCACACCTCATTACGTCTCTTCTTTGCAAATGCCTTTAGGAAAAGAACGCTTGTTCACATAACATTGAACACATTTTGCCACGAAGAACGCATTGGTTCGATCCCTACGAGGAGCGATATTCATCAGTGATTTATTTACATCTATCCTGTGTTCTCAATCGCGGACAGTTACGATTTTTCACGCTGTACCAACGACGCTTTCGTTGACACCGACCCCAAAATTTCTGGAAAAGGAGCTTTTAACACTAGCGCGCTAAACTCTGGTCTGCGAAGCAAGCTGCGTACATTTCGACACTGCCGTGGCGCTGCCAAATTTAGCGCATCATGGATTGAAGAAAGCGGCGCCTGGTGCACTATGCTACATCTAATCACTTGGTCTGCTGCAAGCGAGTAAAAAGATGTGAATGTGAAAATGGAAGGGATGCGCATGCACACTCACCAGGTCAGATGGCGCGACAATGCAGTTTTATCAGATATCAGTCGTCGCTTGCACGTCCCGACTCATTTCGCTGATGGTTGTATCATAAATATGGGTCGTCGGTCCCTTTAAGAAATACGTGCAGACTACTTGGTTCGTCATGATACAATAAGGCATTAAACGTTGACATATGGCTTCACTGGAGAATAACAAACTTTGAACTTGTCTGTTCTTCAGTGTTGTGCACTGAAGAACAGACAAGATGTGAATTGCTACGTTCTGCTATGTTGCCCATCATAGTTTGTCTGGGTTTGTGCTTCACCCTTTTATTTGTCCCCTTTGCCCAAATATTTAAGAGAAGTTTCGAAGTGTAATGAAGTATGCATTGCCTTCATAAACTGATATTTTGATCTCTTTATGGCCGTGAGGGTGTTTTTATTCTGATTGTATATTTCTTGAGAACATGCAGCCATGTTGGATGTGTACTGAATTGTTTTCATTTACGCTTTAGACCTGGAGGGGAACTCAACATTGGAGAAGATGAAGTGGAGGGACTAAAAAGACTCATGACTGAGGTGGGTTTTAAAGTCATTTTGCAGTAGTGCAACACTGAAACCTTGATGTGTGCTTATTGAGTCATCTTTTTATTGTCCAGTCACTTTGGTGTGACTTCTTAGGCCATTATCAAGGGGCAATACAACAAATGGGAGATACTTCCACTCAACTCTTACTGATGTTTCTCTAAGTAATGCTTGAAGTTATCACCTTGATGTAGTTATCGGAGTAAGTGTGGGAGTACCTCGCATCCTGTCATACATTAGTCGCGTTTTATTTTGGATCTCCCTACGCGAAACCTGAATGACACAGTTGCTTGTGGGATGCAACAACTTAGCAGATTCAAATAATATAAGCAAGCCTCCACCGCCAATTCTGTCTCTCACTCTTGTTGCCTTAAGAGTGTGTGTTTAAAACTAAAGAGCATAAATTTTTATTTTAAGTGAAATTTGAAGTTGTATATGCATGTATTAACTGGTTTTTAATATGGGGCTTGTATAATGTTTAAATTGCAGTTGATGTTGTCTATTGGAGCAGCCTTTGTGGTTTGTTTAGTCCCGATAGGAAACAGTGAAAAAAATTTTGATCATTGTTGCTGGAAGTCCATGCTCCTGCAATTTGAACCACCTGTAGGCATTTGCAGAAGCAAGCATTTACAGCATTGTGTTCACCTCAGTTCTAGTAGGTCTGCAGTACATAATGTAACACAAGTAGCTGTTGACTCGGCGTTATATCTGAGATGTTGCTGTCGATTCTTTGCAGCTCAAGTGTATGACCTACCGTGTAAATCCTTGTATGTTGCACGTACATTGCATGTATTGAAAGATTTCTGAGTCCAATAAGTCTTGATGTCCAAGCTGAATGATGCTTGTTTGGTTATTGTGTAGATCTTGGGCCGGCAAGATGGTGTAAAGCAGGATTGGGTCATAGAAGACACTGTGGGCAACTGGTGGCGTCCAAACTTTGAACCCCCACAGGTTAGTGTTTAGTTAATCACAACAAATGAGCACCATTGTGTGCTTGTTAGTATTTCATGTTGGGTGTGTTCTGTATTTATTTGTTAGTACTTTATCGTTCACATGTGTGCGTGTGTAATAGACTTATTTTATTCTGGTAAGATACACAGGTATATATGTATTGTAATCCTACGCGCTCTACCACTTGTTTATTATAAGTGTGTATAAATATTCTGTTAGTTTTCCACAATGTAAAAACAGTGTCTTTATTGTGGAACCATTTGTAAACATTGTTAAACTTGGAATTCGCCCACGTGATATGTAGCAGGTTTATTGGCATATGTGAGTGAGTCTTGGCATATGTAAGAGCAGTGTAGGTAACCTAGAGAATAACTATACCATGTAAAGTAGGTTGTTCATGTGTAATAGGGCCAAGAACTGAGCCTTTAGGAAATGTCGGCAGTAAAATTTGTGTGCGATTGTGGCAATTTTAAAAATTTTGCCCATACCAAGAGAGTCATCATATTCTGATTAAGTACTATAGGAATAAGCTTTTGAAAATACTGAATATATGTGGGCTCCAAAATTTTTGCCATAGGTTGTAAAAAAAAACAAAAGAAAACTTGCCTATTCTTTGCTCCCAGTCTTGCCCTTGCTACAGTTTTTGCACTCTGCTACATTGGGCCATTGGCATGATGAGGTTGTAGACATTTTTAGGCTGCATATGAGAAATGCCAAGCATTCGTGCTCACCGTGGCCCCTTTTGCCAAACTAAACATACCACTGAGCTCATGGCACGGGCAGTTATGCCACAATGTGCCATAAAAGGTCTTCTGGCTTTTCAAGGACTGTGACTGTCTGACCAAAGATTTAAACAAATGGTAGTCTGGGAATACCTTAATGGATAAGCACTAGAAAAGCATTGAGTCATGATGGCAGCCACCAACTAATGCACCTATACAACTTATTGCCAACAACCGATGAGTACGAGTAAGCACTGTTGGCATTGTGATGATCGTAGTGCATGCTTTTATTGAAACTGAACCTCTGTTTTTCTTCACCAGTAAAACTCTCAAAGCTTGTGCTTACAATTGGACAAATTCATCTGCAAGATTTGAATCCTTTGATGAGCAGCCATCATAACTTTAGAGCCTGAAATGGTTTAAGTGATGTAGAGAGGGATATGTGTCCTTCCTTTGCTCACGGTTTTAAGTTATTCTTGGCACAAGTTTTGTCCTGTTTATCAGATAAATTAGTGTAATGTAATATACCATTGGAGGGTTTTTGCGCGTGACATAATTTGATTTGAATGCGGTAGTGTAAACCGCATTCAAACCATCAGCAACATGTAGACGTGTTATCTCGGAGGTCTAGACTGGTGAAAGCCCAAATCGTCAAGCACGCTCATTATGAGAGCTCTGCGATCGCCAGCGTGCCTCGTGACTTAAGGAGTCCAGGCAGAGGTGTGAAGGAGGGTCTGATATAATTCTCTGTAGCGGCATTGGTACGGAGTGTCACTAAATTTTTGCAGTGAATGGTTTGAAGATGCTCTAGCCCTAATACTGACAAAACTGCACAAAACCTTTCAGGGTCCATTTAAATAGTAATTTGGTAGTCGGTAATGTGCCCTATATAATCAGAATTTCTACCAACATGGAAAACCTGGAAAAGTCAGGGAATTTGGACCCTTCTGCAAATGTCATGGAAAAGTCTGTAAATTTCCGAAAAACCTGGCCAAGTCATGGAAACTGACAGTAGTTCCTTGTGACTGTCACAAAAATAAGCATTACCATTCATTAAAGCTTAAAAAGTTTCTCTTTCAACTGCAAATACAATGAGCTTCTGAAAGAGGTGTGAAAAAAAAAAGTGCATTACTGATGCTTTCTTAGTGTGAACGAGAAAGGATACACTGACCCATGGAACACAAAGTTTACTGACGTTTTGGCATTCGATATGGGAGGGAGCCTTGTTCACAATAAAAGCGGTAAGATTAAGTACGCCTAAATACGCAACGGAAGCAGCAAGAATACATTGTCAGAAGCGTCTCATCACTCCTGTTAAGCATATGTACTGTCGACCACAAAAGTTTACCGACCATGCGAGCGCAAATCCGAAAGCCACTTCGCGACACTTCCGCTACATCAGCGGCGATCGACAGCACTGCAGTGCCCTGAAAGCATCCCTCCTCTAACAGACCTCTGCCAGGGTACGTCACAGCGTGACGTCACTGGTGCACGTGCAAGGGATGGTTGGCAAAACACTCCTGCCTGTGGCCGAGTGGGTGCGGTAGCTCGGAGCTTGGGGCAATATTTTTTTTTTTCTTTTTTGAAAGCCTGGTTTTTATCTCACAGGGGCAACATTAGCTGTGGTATGTGCCAGAGAACATCTAGGTGTGTGGTAAAGTGCGTGATGAAATATTTTTTGGCACGCTGGCTGGCTGTTTATCTTTGAACACACATGGCGGCCTGTGCGAGGAACAGCAGCATCGTCTTCGAAAATGTGCAGTGTTGACTGTGGCGTGTAGTGTGCCTTGAAAGGCATCGATAATATTGGTTCACTTTTGCGGACGGTGAAACTGGGAATATTGTGCGGGGTGTGTGCAGTGTGAATAACACGATGCGTCCTGTTTGAGAAAACACTGGTATTCATTGTTGGCCGGTTGCAGTAACCTGTTGTCGAGGGAACTTTACGATCCGTCATTTTAGTTAAGGTAAAAAGACATTTGACACGCTTATCTGCGAGTGGGTACATCTCAACGTATATATGCGCGGCTTGCAGAAAAGTAAAAGTGCATCATCTCCGAGTGATATATACGGCTACGCATGAGCTATAAGCATGTTGTAGCGCTGCCGAATCTGCATATGCGCTTCATTACAGCTATAACTTGTGTTATCGGATACCTGTTATGTGTTAATAAAAACAGCGGAGATTTTGGTTTATTTACTGCGTACTTTTACGGCTCGATCCTTATGAAGTGACAATGCGCATTAGAAGATTGTGTATCAGGCCTAAAGCAGCAATATAGGTACGAAAACACGTTATAGGTGTCAAATGCAGCAAGGTAACTGTGTCAGATAATAATATATATTATGTTGTCGTGTTTTACATCACATGAATTTTCACTGGGTTATTGAGAAACGCAGTGGCAGAATTTCATTTTAATTTTCACGAGGATATGTTAACCTCAGTCTAACGCACAACAAGAGGTGTTTCTTTTTTTTTTTTTTTTTCATCTCATATCAGACTTTTGTGCAATTAGTGATAATCTTATCTGTGACGTTGTGCACAGCAGCTTAAAACCATGCTGCTGCCTCGTTTAAAACTGCATTGCACATGCCACGATGGAAATTGAATAAGTTTACATCCATGCCATGCAAATATTTCTCAGAGTGCCAGTCACCTAGTACATTCAAAACGTTTGCTTTAAAAAAAAATCTGACTTCTTTATGGCTGCTATCTACGTGGGTGAAGCCCCCTTCATGCTAGTCGCATCTCTCAGTACTCTAAATAAAGTTTCTCCATCCATCAAACTACAACGAGCAAATTTCCACACTATGAGCAGTGACCCTTTCACGACCTCCTTCTTTCAAAAGCTGTGACTTTAGAATATAAAAACGTAGAAATTTCTCTCTCGAAGGAATGCAGACACACAGCTCTGCTATGCAGAAAGATGCCGCCGGCAGAACTTTCTTGCCAACCAGCACCTGCTCCGAGAGAGGGTATGGTGGACGGGGTGCCCGCAGGGACGTCGCACTGTCTATAAACAGGGAGAGGTCTATTGATGGCCTGTTTATTTTCTGACTGGGTACAAATATTTTTCACCTTTCGCTTTTCAACACGACGCGCTTTTGGCATCTGCGTCTACGAGCTTCTGCCAGGAAAGCAGTCTATGGTTATAACTGTTATCAGTACATCGGTCACAAAGTGACACCTACCCAACGAAATGCTGTTTGATGCACGCCTTGATAGTTTCGATCCTCCTGTGAAAACAGTAATGTGATGGTCATACTGGAAAGCAGTCTACGAGTATAACTGTTATCAGTACATCGGTCACAAAGTGACACCTACCCAACGGAATGCTGTTTGATGCACGCCTTGACAGTTTCGATCCTCCTGTGAAAACAGTAATGTGATGGTCATACTGCAGGCAATCGCATCGCATGAAAACCGCTAACTAACAATGTTCTACACGGCAGTAGAAAACTGAAAGGCCAGTGAATAAGAAGATGACTCGTTTTCAGCTCAGAAGTGTGGTCGACGGTAGATGGCGCACCGCTAGGTGGCGTGGACAGGCAGTTTGGCAAGCGCTCGCGTGGTCCGCAAACTTTTGTGGTCGACTGTGCAGTCGTCTGTATCTCTATTCCAGGTGCAGGCATGATGCAAGCTTCTTTTAAATGCAAAGCATTTTATAGTCGCACCTACTCGCAAATCCGGCGATGGCGGTGGTGTCTACACCCCTACTGGGCATGCTCGCATCTCATGCAGCATGTTCGCGTCTCGTGCCAATCGTCGCTCCCCGTCTCTCTCCTCGCGTGCCAACTGTTGCTCCCCCCTCTCTCTCCTCGCAAGGCCGATGCAGGGGCAGCATCTGCTGGTAAAAACTAACTGCTCGCGCTGCACAACCCTTCACTGGCCACCCCGTATATGTTGGCACTGGGTTGGGTGTTCAGAATTCAGTCAAGGGTGTCTTTACTTGGCTTTCGCTTGACTCGAGTAGATGAGGTGGAAGCAGCAGTACCTTCAACCACTTGTGGGGCACAACCCAGCATTAGTGTCCCACCATTTGTTGAAAACAACGCTTCTCCTTCATCCAATAAATACGAATAAAAAAACGAAATAACAATTAAGTATTCAGAAACTATACCCAATTACGCAACATTCACGCAATACCCTCGCCACACTGTGACGCATTTACTCAATTCTCCCCCCTCGGTGGCACGTAGATTCCACGTGTTCAGCAGGGGCAGTCGAGGCCACGTGTCGTTTCGTGGCGTCATAGTTGTGTTGTTTAACTCTTTTCTTGAAATCGCCACATTTACCGATGTAGTGGTTGTCACAATTGTGTCAACCTATGGCATAAGGAAGACCAAGGAAATTTCTGCTCGGCAACTTGTCCTTCAATTTTGGATAAAGCATTCCTTAGGTTCATGTCTGTTGCTTATACATATCAGCCAGCGTATCTGACTTTCGAACCACGACATTACTCACGTCTAAATTTATGCATGTTTATTAGGCCACAATTTAGGCTCGACTTGAAGGCCATCTGGTTGGTCTAGGCTGTTTGTCTAGGCTAGAACCGCTATCAGCAGATACTTGCTGGGCCACTCATGCCTTTTATTATTATTATTATTATTATTATTATTATTATTATTATTATTATTATTATTATTATTATTATTATTATTATTATTAGTGATGTAACAGCAAACATCTTCACCTACACACTTATTGCTGATAGCTTGTGTTTCAAGGGTAGCACCTGGGTAACTTCAGGTAAATTTCTCTTTTAAGTTTTGTGAGATTGTGTAAATAAATGTGCAATTATTTTTAGCTTCATTTCCACAGAAGAATGCAAAAATCAGAGTAACGTGCCGACATTCGTGATTCATCTGTGGAATCAAGGAAGCTGTTGCACGTTGACAGATTCCTTCTTGCCACTACATATTCAAACGTCGGCACTTTAAGTGCTGTCCCCAGCTTTCATTGCAGCCGTCAGAGAACTTTCGTTGCACATCATGCGTCGGAGTCCAGAGACATAAAATACAAACATGCATGTATTCGTCAAAAAAAAAGAAAGAAAAAGAAAAAAATTGCAGTACGACTTTGTTTTTGCAATGTTGGCGTTACTTGTTGCTAAGGCAGGATACACGAAATATGTGTTATTATTTTTTCTTGCTGAAAAGTATATTTTAGAGGTGCGAAAATTAGGTGGGGACGCAAATCAATAGTAAATACAGCAGCAATCCAGGTCGAGTCAGATCTAATTCTAACCACATCTTAAATAGTTGAGTCAGTAACTACAGCAGCTCAGGTCGATCTAATTCAATCCACATCCTAAGGGGCGTGGGTTACAGCCATTATAGTAAACTAGATTATACTACAGTGACAGAACCGGCCAGGCTTCCTTGCCACAGATGCCGCGAGATGGCACCACTTCTAAGTTTCCTAGCAGCTTTGACTGCGATGTCGGACTATCATAGGCTCCTTCAAACTTTCATCTGCAGTTACTTTCAACTTGTGTGTTTGCTTCCTGGTTCTTCTGAACATCACACAGCTGACTTGATCGCCGCCTGACTGAGGTGTTTTGTTTTGGCCAGATATTCGTATTTTTTCACATTCACCGCACGCGCTCAGAGCATTCCGAGTGCATCTGGTAAATATGTTTGCTTATTTTATATGGAGCGCTTGATTTTTTTTATTCCTCGAAGGTTTGTTTCCAGTGCATAGAGTTTTCCAACCAAATGCGGCGGTCGTGGAATTTGCTTTTAATCATCATGGAAAACTAGAAAAGTTGGTGAATTCAGAAATGTCAAATTAGTAGGCACCCTGATAATTCAACAGATAATTTGTGGCTTTTCAGTACCCCTATGTTCCACCACATATTACGAAGCCCAAAGAACATAAAAGGCTCTACCTTGTTCAACTGCCTGAAAAGGGTAAGACATGTTTTTATTTCCTCTTTTAGTGTATAATAGCATGTCTTGCACCCCCATCAGAGTACAAAAGAACTAGCTGGCTGTTGAAGGGTTTGTGTGTAGTACTGAAAGGACATTAGAAAACTTTTCAAGCATACTCTGATTTGATTGCTGACATTTAGTTAGCACTTGTCTGAGCATGCAGGAAAAATATTGTGAATTCTGTGGACGCAGCAGCAGTAACCTGAAGTTTTGTTGTTTGAAAATTGTGAGTGTGTGTGTGTGCAGTTCTGCGAGTGCAGAGAAAACATTTTGTGGATAATTACATGGAGTAAATTTAGTTCATGACTTGTTTTCTTGCATTTCAACATTGCCTTTACCTCTATATCATATTTTTTGTACTATTTTACTAAATAATTGCATATTTTGGGGCCCTGTTATTTGTTCTGCAGCACTTTTTGCAGTGCCTAAAAACTACAAGTTGGTGGCTGCCCCATTGTTTGAGCTCTACGACAACGCACAAGGATATGGCCCCATCATTTCCAGCCTCCCCCAGGCCTTAAGCAGGTGACTGCATATTCATTGTTTCTCTTTGCAGCTCAATCGGCATGGAGTGCCGCCAATTTCAGCAGCATGTACAGGCCGTTTCATACTTTGGGAAAATCTCTGAGCACCTGGAATCGCGATGCTACTAGCGCTGCAATCGCGCGCTGCCAGCAGCTCACGCGTGCGCAGACGCTTCAAAGGTGTAGAATTGAACCACGCCGTCTGCTACGGCAGGGTGCATGCCGCATTGCCGGCCAGCGCATAGATATCATTGTTAATGCGGGATCTAGTCCGGTACTCTGCACTAATAATTTTTAGAAAAATCTGCGTCACAAGGTGGGATACAAAAAAAGAAGGAACGACCAACTCGCGCGTGATTTCTTCCTATCCCGTCTTTCTGCAGGTTTTTTTTTTTTTTTTTTCAGATGATTCCGTATCAACTTGCCCAACTTTCAATGCTTGTTTGCACTAAATGTTTTGCAGTGCCAACTTCTCAGCCTTTATTTGTGATAATGGGGCACTATAAAAACAGTATTTAACAGCACGCCTTCTTGCTCTATCAAATTCGCGCTGCAGTAAGCTTGGATGAGGAAGACTCGATAAAAAGCATGCACTGTGTGTGGTCTCTATTTGACTTGAAATTAAACAAACCACCCAGTGGTGACTGCTTCAGGAATGATTTAGGATAGAACAACCACCTGAACTTGTTTATTCTTGATTATATTTAATCACAACATAAAGGACTTGGGCACAGTGCTGAAATGCACTCGTGGCGCTTCCAAGTTCATGTCTCCAGTGGTAGTGATGATAGCACTTATTCTACATGGCAGTGAATGCATGGTGTCAGCGATGTGTTCCACTGTAGCATGTCCCATTCGATGGGGGTATGGCATCTCAAAATCCAGATTAAACTAAATAAAATGAGTTCGTCTGGCCCTACGTTTTTTCTTTTTTTTTTCTTGTCTGAAAAGAGCAGTACTGTGTTGTTTGCCTAATTTAGCATGTTTCGTATACCAGAAAAAGAGCAACTTCTGATTATTGAACTGTGTTGTAAAAACTTCACTACATTTCGGAGCAGGCTTGCGGGTCTTGTGGTAATGAAATGTCGTCGTAAAGAGACACGTTCAGGCTTTGTTCTCACCTAAGACCACCTTCAATTTGTTCCCATTTGTTTTATCGTGTTAAGCCAGCGCAGCAGTACGACTCTTCCTGTTGAGTTTTTTTTTTTTTTTTTTTTTTTCATTTAAAGTCAAATCAAGACAGCACACATTGCGTGCTAATTGTCGTGTCTTCCTGGTCCAAGTGTACTGTGGTGCACACACAGTGAACAAAAATTCCTGAACGCACACGGCACCACAGTGTTTCAAGAGAGCAAATAAAGTGCGGTGTCAAATTCTGCTTGTAGCACCCCATTATCACAAACAAAGGCTAAGAAGTTGGCATCGCACAACGTTTAATGCAGGATATCCACGCTGTTCCAGCATTAACAATGACATCCGCACGCTGGTCAACTATGCGGCAAGCAAGAGCCGCTGTAGCAGACGCAGTTCAAAACTACACTCCTGAATCATCTGCACACGCTTCAAGATTTTCCCTATGTGTGAAACAGCCTGTAGAGCCTTGTCATTGAACTTTTTTTCAAGTGTGCTCAATAAAAGAAATCCTTCTTGAGTCATATTTGAGAAGAAAAGGTCATCTGGTTAAATGCCTCTCCTAATATTCTTAACTGCGTGAGCTGACAGTTTTGAGGCGACATCTGGGCTGATGCAAGTGCCTGACGCTTTCATCTGCAGTGATGCTTGTGCTTACAGTATGCCATCGTCGTAAATGATTACTCAATTTTATAAAGAGATCTAGTTCTAGACTGCTTTTATGCAATTTTTTTTTCTTTTCCCTTTTTCTCGCAATCGCTTCAACAAACTTTCATTATTTTTTTGTTTAGTATCAATATCATGCCTGTCATTTTGTTGGACTTGTTCACTACTTTATGCTCAATCTACTATTTTAGAGAATCGCATAAAGCTTAAAAAACATTTTTTCTTGGGAAGTGTTACAAAGCTGTTGAAAGGTTGGACTATAGAAGATTTCGGAAATTCATTGAAATTATCAATTGCAATGATACTTGCCGTGCCCTTCTTACAGCAGCACAAAATGCCGTACAAGTGCACCAGGAAGGTTCTTGCTTCGAGCAAGTCTATTCAGGCACTAACTCTCTCAAATAAATCAAAATTGGCAGAAATGAAAGTACTTAAAAATAAAAATGCGTGGTGGTAAATAACCATTCAAATGTTCAAGCTGTGCAGCTCGGAACATCTTGCCGGTACAAATGCAGACTGCCTATGCACGGAATAAACAGAGGTTCCTGGTTTATATCACGTTTTCATAACACGGCAGTGTGCAGGCTATGCTCTTCAATTTTAATCTGACAGGTAGTTTGGGCACCCCATGAAAGGAAGAAATTAATTGTAAAATCAGCCATCACTTAGTTTCATGCCATCCTGAGGCAAAATAAAAGTAATTCAATCTAGTTGAACGGCATTATGAGAGACATGCAGAGGGGAGCAGTTCTTGCCCCTTATACGAGGTCTCGTAAAGGCTGGTTATGATTTTTTTTTAACACTTTTCATGTATGCACACTGTTATTTTCTATACAAAATTTTTTTTTACATCAGCGTCATGAAGTTTACATTGAGTTAATGTTGAACAAGAACACAGGATTACAGCTGTTTTATTGTCTGGGGAAAATTCATAGATATACACCAGTCATTCCAGCCTTTTCTAACAATTCTTCGATTTTCCTCGTATAGACTCCTTTTGAAAATTCTCCACCGTCCGTGCTTGTCCGTTAACATGCAAGGGTGAAATTCCGATCCAATTTGCGGCATTCTGCTCTATTACTTTGCCATTTTCACCAGAAATAAAAGCCTGCACTCTGAAAAATTTTGCTATAAATTAAGGTATTTGGGCTAGTTTTTATTCCCGTTTGTGGGCAAACTCTCCTTCTATCTGGTTAGCTAGTCTAGCCGCAATCACTACAGGCCCCCACCCCCTTTTTTTACATGCTGCTAGTAGTATAGTTGGTGGCTGCTGTCACTGCACCAAAAGCTCCAGGATGGAAAAATGACTAAAAGTAGTGTTATTCTTGTATTTTGTGTAACTACAACAAAGCTCTTGCTGTCGCATAGCCGTTAGCGTCATTATGAATGCATCAGCTAGCTTGCAGCCTACTGTGCGGAATCAAAAGTGGCCAGTAGGTCTCTAGCCTTCTCTCCCTGCACACACATTTTCGTTACTTCCCTTTATTGTGATCACAAACTACCATCATGGCTCTTAATCGAGAGGTTCTTTTTTGTCTTCTTTCTCTCGCACTTTTCCCTGAACTTTTACTGCACTCACCATGTGCATCTGTTTATCATTCATAAAACGGCTACTGTTCTAATCGGAAGCTGTAGTCCTCATGCTGAACGACTTCTTGTGACCGACAGGGCCGGTAGTTGACTAAGAGGTTCATAGAGAAGACTGGCTTCATGGTAACCGTAGTTATACTCTGTTTTAGAAGTTCCTTCAGCCAATACGAAGGCCGCTTAGCACTTCCACGTGTATTCGTCCGCGCCTTGTCATCTGCTCATCGTATTCATGGCATCTGCTCACTGAATTATAGTTATTATTTACAGCTGGTTTATTAACTTTAAAATGCAGTAAAACAATTAAACAAGCAACTACATTGGAAAATTGAAGAAGCGTGGATTTGTTCCTCTGCTGAAGATCGGTGGATGCTCATGCTGGCGGATAACTTTGACTGTTGCTCTCCGAAGCAGTTCGTGGCTCTCGTATACGACTGCATCTCTGTCTACGCGTTTCTTTGTCTCTCGGAGAAACACTTCTTTTCACTCTCTTTTGTTTCAACCGAAGGAAGATCCAACACATAGGGAACGCTGTGCAAGTTCGTATGTCGGATATTTAAGATGCAGTGTTCTTGGTCTACCGACGCAGTCCGAACACTGCCTCAGCGCATTCAGGCGTGGTTAAGCAAGCAGCATATCTCTCTAACGATGACAAAACGTACCCCCTTTATTCCCAGATTGAGATAAAACAAATCGGTGGTGAATTTCTCCGTTTGTTTACTGCTGTCAGGGCAGTGGGTGTGTAGCAAGAGCAAATTCGGATGGAAGCGAGCGGTCGCTTCTGCATGAGTGCTGCCATGCTGATTCGTAAACACAGTTATCAGCAGTAACAAACAAAAATAAAAAAATTCGTTCCGAAATAAATGCGAAGAGGGATAAACATATCGTGTATCGATGTGGCGTAACACACACCAAACGCCAATTCTAGCCAACTCTGTGTGGTACTATCTTTTGCTGTGCAAGTGTGTGGCTTTTTTGGTGTCGTAGCTTTGGTAGTGCTGAACCACAGTGGTGAAACAGTGTAGGGTGCGTGGTTACGCCAACGTGAATAAACTACCGTTATGGCATGTGGTTTCATGTATTTAAGTCGAAAGCCTCGTATACCTCATGAAATGGGAGAAGTGACTGTCGACATCAACATTGCAAGTAGTACCAATCATCTAATGACAGTCTACGAGGCACTGAATTTCAAAGCATGGCGTAGTGAATAATAGTGATTTAAAAGTAATTAGAAGTGAATTGAAGCAGAGCGTGTTGTATGTACGTAATCATAGGTCAACGTGTTTTGTCTAAACTTCAAAGAAACCATTTGCGCCACCAGCTACAGCACGGAAAATGAGAAATTGGGGGTGGCATGGTTACAACGTTAAGCTTGCTTTTTAGCTCTGCTTATTGCATATAAATGTCTGGTGTGTTTGTTTAGAAAAAATTTTCTTTTTCAACTTTTACGATGATGCCTGATCATCAAAGTTCATAAAGAGGGCTGACTAATGTGGTCTCATGTATTTAAGGCGAAAGCCTCGTATGCCTCATGAAATGGGATAAGTGACTGTCGACATCAACAATGCAAGTAGTATAAATCATCTAATGACAGTCTACGAGGCACTGAATTTCAAA